CAAAAAAAGAGGGGAAAAAAGAAAGAAACCCACTGCCGCCATCATTACCTACATGGTTAGCATGTCCGCCACGACCATCATCCTCATGACAATTGGCTTACACTTTGGTTTCACTAGCATTTTATCGTTGCTTTTCCTGCAGATGTCTTCAGACACCACCACCATTGACATAGTTAAAGATACTGTTGTCATTGTCACTGCTCTCTTTACACTACATAGGATTAGTTATGAAAGTTTACATACTCTTGTTTTCGTACGAGATACTATATTACCTAAAATGGTCAGATTGTAAAAAGCATCATATTCAATATCCATAAGCATTTGATGTCTGGATAGATTCCTACAAATGTTGAATTCGAATGACCAAGAGCAGTCTAAGTTTTAACAAAAAATCCAGTATTAACAGCTGTGCCTAACCCAATTTAGTCATAAACCCATTTGATCCGTCTTCCTCCTGGACTCATCCTTTCCTCGATCTCCACGTCACTTTGAAGCTACCTCCTCTAAAAGGCCATTATCGTCATCCACACGCGCACTAACTCTAACACCATGCATGCTCTCACAATAACTGTAGATTATCAGTCGAGTTATGTGCAGAAAAAATGCACTTGACAGAACCATTAATGAAATATCTTTACTACTCATGAATTGAATAATAATTTGTAGGTAATTTAAATAAAAACCAGAGAGAAAGCAGAAGTTTTTAATATTTTTCAGTATCGTACATTCTGAAGGAAGTTTGCAAGTAGACCATTACTGTTCATCTTTGATGCTCAGAAATCTCATTTACAGTTAACGGATTTAACAGGGCTAGATATGCGAGAGTTAAGAAAGGTGGTGGGTGAATGAGAATATATTTGCCTATTAGAGAATCTGTAAAGTGGAAGGAGAGAGCAGATTGCACAAACATGGAAAGAAAGAAAGAAGAGAACAGAGGAAAAGGTATAGTGAGCAAAATTGTCCATTATAACATTAAAGTGACTCGATGTTGATAAATCTAGAGTTATAAATAGCCTGAACCATAGATTGGCCATCAGAAAATGGGCAGAGAATTACATCATTGGAAACAGCTATAGTTAACCGCAAATGAGTAAAAATGATGATCAACATTACTTCATGCGCAGGTGTGGGGTCTTGAAACCATTTGAAATATAGACCATTGTCCATGACTAATGATGCTCTCACTGGTTAAGATAGCTTCATTTTTAGATTCCTTGACACGTGAACAAGGGGGTATATAGCTCATGTACAAGATATTAATACCCACATGACACCAGCAAATTAGGTATAGATGTGGCATGTATACAACAGTATCAACAAAGGAAGCTTAGTATGTTTATGAGTGTGGCCTTCCATACAACGCTCCTTTAAAGAAGGTCACAAATCTAATAGAAAAGAAGAATCTTCCTAATTACCTCCCGGCGAAGAAACAAGTTAAGACCATGACAGTAAGCTTTTCGTACAGCACGCAGGGAATTCTTGTCAATATTCTGAATACATTCAACATGAAGAAAGATTAGAGAAAGACAGTAGAAAAGAACCTAGTTATAATTTTTCCATTTCTTGTAAGTATAAACCTTTAATTGCTGCAGAAGTCGTGCATAAACACGACACTTGAACCTTAGCTCTGCATGATCAGGCCTCTTTAGCTGACCTCGCTGCATGCATATAAGTAAAAACATATAGTTTAGAGTGTTATTTCTATAGATTATTATATAAGCAAACAAAAAAAACTTTAGAATACCTCTGAAAAAAAACTCTTTTCATTTATCATAAAATCCACCATAGTATCAAAGTAGTTCCTTAAATATTCCAATGCTCGCTTAGCAAATGTACTTCTTAACTTTTCCAATTGTGCGCGCTTTTCCTTAACCTGAACTAAACAAGAGTAACTTGCAGATTAATGTAATCTTGTAATTTATAATAATCTGTGAGTGTTGTAGAGTATATGGAAACTGATTGACGGATATACTGTATAATGTAAGTTTTCATACACAGCTATAAATCATAGAGTGCGCAATGCAGCTTGCTAATCCATGTGGTCATTTATGATCTAGATTTCTTAAGTTCATGCACCAAAGACCAATGTAGTATGGAAATCTTTAACATATTATTGACCAAACAACGAGCTTCTAGGATGAAAAAACCAGTCATAATCACATGATGATGAGAAAGAAAGCTCCCCAGAACATGACTTCCATCCCAGTGGGGTTTAGGATGATAGCGAAGAGTAGACAGTGAAGATAAACATTTTGATGGATAGTCGCATGAATTTGCAGGTCTTGTAAATTCTTGCTTACATATTTTGGATGCTTCTGAGCATGTGTTTGAGCAATGTATTTTTGGATGTTTAGCCTGGTCAAATGCCAAAATTTCTATTGAAGTTAAAAAGAAAAACTTCAATTTTAAACAAGATGGTCATGAAATCGCTCAAGCCCAGATGAAAGGTTCAAGACTCATTAGAGTGGAAGGACATGGTTCAACATGGTTATTGCCAAGTTATTTGTCCATAGTTGTACCTCAATTGGTTACAGATTGTGCAAGGCTTTTTTGGGATGTTGATATTTATCGTGATAGATTAGAGAATCTTTTATTTTTCTTCGGATTTCAATCTTTAATATTTTCTTTAAAGGAAATGGAGACAAGCTCTTGAGTCTAAAGGTTTTAGAATTAGTAGAACAAAAACAGAATATATGAAATACATTTTTAGTAAAAGTAAGAAAGAAAGAGAGCCTATGGTACATATTGATGGCCAAGAAATACCTAAAACTAATCATTTTCACTATTTAGGATATATTATTAGCATGATGGTGAGATAGAGGATGATGTTGTGCATCGAATCAAATAGGGATGGTTAAAATGGATGAGTGTTTCGGGAGTCCTATGTGATCGTAGAATATCAATGAAACTAAAAAAAAATTCTATAGGACGGTTATAAGACCAACTATGCTTTACGGATCAGATTATTGGGCTATTAAAAAACATGTTCAAAAATGAGTGTAGGAGAAATGAGAATGTTGCGATGGTCTTGTGGGTATATATTAAAAAATAGGATAAGAAATGAATGCATCCATAGTAAATTAGAGGTTACGTCTATTGAGGATAAAATGAGAGAGAATAGATTAAGATGGTTGATCATGTACAAAGGAGCTATGAAGCACGGACACGCATAACATAAAGCCGTGTCGTGTCGTGTCCGTGTCGGACACACGTGTCGAACACACGTATCCTATGTATTTTTTAGGATTTGCCTCGTGTCGGCGTGTCGGATGACCGTGTCGGATCTGTGTCCGTGCTACATAGCAAAGGAGACCCCTTAGTGCATCGACTAGAAAAAGTGATAATATTATAGTTAATGTGGCTAGGAGATCTAGAGGTCGACCTAGAATGACTTGGTCAGAAGCAATTAAGAAGGATATAATTAACACTGTTTTAAATATCGGCCGATAATCGATATTATCGGCCGAGTTATCGGATTTGGGAGCTCTCCGCTAGGATAAATTAGATTTTTAATCGGTTATCGTTTTTGTAGGTTTATCGGCGATTTATCAGCGTTATCGGCACTTATCGGCACTTATCGGCCGATAAGTAAGACTTTTTTATCGGGATTATCGGCCCATTTTGACTAACATTATATTTTTTCAAGGCTATGATGCAAGTTTCGCTTTCTACAATTTGTTAGTTATTCTAAACATGATGATTTACATTTTGGTATGTTTATATTGCATTAAGCATGATTAGATTATATTTTTTAATTGTTATATTATATATACACATCATCCAATATATCACTCCGATAAATACTACTTATCCCCGATATATCCCCGATTTCCGCTATCCGATAAGGATTTTGGCCGTCCGATAAATCCCCGATAACCGATATTTAAAACCTTGATAATTAAGACTAACGTAACGAAGGAAATTATCCGTAACAGAATGGAATAAAAAAATAGAATTCATGTAGCTGAGCCCAAATATTTGGGATAAAGGCTTGGTTGTTGTTGTTGTTTCTTCAAAGGAAAGATGTCTTTCTTATTGTTCTACATTCTCTCTCTTGTTATATAATTTCCTCATCAGTAAAGTTTAAGAATTGTCAAAGAATGTGAGAGATGGTGGCCGGTAAATCCTCCTTAGAAGGATGGTTAGGCACCACTTACAGAGCAATATCAGATAAACAATCTGAACAAACCCCTTAAATTATAGGGAAGCTGTAGAAACTTCATCCGAGACAAGATGCTATAGAATTAGCTAAAACCATTAGATACTCCGCCAAGGCTTTGTAAACCATGAACAGACTGAACAGGAATGCGATTTAAAAGAATTGGACAATGTATTGGGATCAATTATGTCATAGAAGTCCTTATTCAGTAGTATCTACAGTTTTAGGAATATTTATCGTGATAGCTTTAATTTCGAAAGTTAAATTTTGAAGTTACTCAAGGAAGAGAAGGAACTCATGACCTACATCTTGTTCATCTGCCGGTAGAACAGCAGTTATTGTTCAAGTAGAAGTTTCTGGTTGGTAGTTTAGGATCTTTTCTTTTTTTAAAAGCATTATGTACATTTATCCACTGGGGCAGAATATGAAAAAGATCAGAAGCCTCTAGATAGTCCATGTACTTATTTGCTTATACTCTCCTCAAGCTTCTTGTTCACCTACTTATTTGGTTTTGTACTTAGCTTCCTTTTAGTTTCTACATTCCCATTAGCTCTTAAACTAGTTTTTCATTTAAATTGATTTCTTTTTCCTTGTAGAAGTTCTTTCCTCAAGAAACAACAATTGACATGCAACTAGATGGGTGTACAAGTAAAAAAAAAAGCTAATTTACCAACTTAGAACTGTAAATGCAATTTTTCACAAATATGATGTGAATATTTGTAATATAGGAAATACTTATTGAGTTGTATTATGATGAAGGCATATCCACATGATATATGTTTACTATTTTATTTGTTACTAGCTTCCGTGTCTCTATTTTCTCGGTATTGTATGGAAATTAAGCATGTGTTTAGGGGGTTTTCTATGCCAAGCTCTGATACACAAATTGGATTAGGAACATGTTGTACCATAAAAATAAGTGTTAATCACATTCAACTAGTTGTCACGTGTCTCAAACAGACTACACCCGAAACTCAACCCACACAGGCTGAGACTAGAGGCGTACCTTCTCGCCAGGTCGAGACTAGAGGCGTCCCTTCTCACCAGGTCAAGACGAAAGACATCCCTTCTCGTCAGGCCGAGACGTGAGGCGTCCCTTCCCGCCAGGCCAAGCCAAGACGAAAGACGTCCCTTCATGCTAGGCTAAGACGAAAGGCGTCCCTTCTCACTAGATCGAGACGAGAAGCATCCATTTTCGTCAGATCGAGACAAAAGGAAGTCTTGAACCCCTCATCGATAACCAGTCACCATCATATTAAATGCACGGGTGAAGTCATGGTTACATCCTCCATGAAAGTCTTAATGACTCGTCAAATACTTTCAGCATAGTACTCCTCCTGTTACCGCTGCATTAACCACTAAGAATGACTTATCCCCCCGTGGCCGACATCTATAAAAGTATCAGTCGAGTAAGCTGACTGCTTACACACAATCGAGATTACATAAATACCCTCATCAGCTAGGTATAAAAAGGCACATCGCCTATTGACCAAATGTATGCAATTTCTGCACACAAAATTTCATCAGTTTTTTCTCCATATCAGGTCAATATTGACTTGATCATCACGGAATCATCGAAGAACCTAACTCCGGTCCTCTAACGTGTTGCACATGTGCAGTCAGCCATCAAAAGAGATCAAGGGACCCAACCTCTTTAAAGTCAACCCTAAATGTCACTGTTATGCCTCCATGCATTAACAGTTTTGCGCCCACTATAGGGCCTCTTCAATTCTTTTTGAGGAAGTGATCGTTCCCATGTCTTCGGACCTCAGAATTAGAAGCTGTCACCACCGCTTAAATGCTACGGCATTCAAGAAATTTTGCCAAGGATTAAATTAAGAGCAAGGCTAAAGAAACGGTAGGGTTGTCATAAAACGTAAAACATTTTGAAGGATATTTCCACAAAATGTAGTTATATTGTAAAGACCCTTCTGCAAATAAGAAATATTTTGTATTGTGTACTAACATGTATGCAGATCTTGCAATTCGATATTCATCGACTCAGCAATAAAGACTCTAAGACCTTAGCGTCATTCTCATGAATAAGCCCAAGGCATGTACCCAAGACACTGGTGTCGTTTTGAAGTAAACCTAAGGCACGAAGTTCAATTTCACTCGGACTAGACTGTCTGAGTTCGAGCAAAAGAGGCTAGTGTTGTGCCATAGAAATAAGCAAATGGTAATCACATTCAACTAGCTGACATGTGTCTCAAGCAGACTACAACCCAACTCAATCCAGACAGGCCAAGACAAAAAGTGTCCCTTCTTGTCAGGTCGAGACGAAAGGTGTACCTTCTCGCCAGGCTAAGACAAAAGATGTCCTTTCTCACCAGGCAGAGACTAGAAGCATCCCTTCTTGTTAGGCCGAGAAAAAAGGCATCCCTTCTCACCAGGTCAAGATAAGAGGCATCCCTACCCTTCTCGCTAGACAGAGATGAGAGATATCCCTTCTCGCTAGGTCAAGACAAAAAGTGGTCATTCTCAAACCCCTCACTGATAGCCAGTTTCATCGCATTAAATGCATGATCGAAATTATGATTATATCCTTCATGAAAGTCGTAATGACTCATCAGAGCTTGTCAGCACCGTACTCCCACTGTCACCATCGCATTAATCACAAGTGACTTATTCCCCTAGCGAACGACACCTATAAAATTTCAACCGAGTAAGTTGATTGATTGGACTCGGGCGAGATTACATAAATACCCTCATCAGCTAGGTATAAACAGGCACATCGCCTACTGATCAAAGGTATGTAATTTATGCACACTTAGAGAACTTGATCAGTCCCTTTCTCCACTTTAGATCAATACTGACTTAATCATCGGAGGAATTATCGAAGAACCCAATTCTAGTCCTCTAACGTGTTGCACGTGTACAGGACACTCTTCCTATAGATTAGCCATCAAAGGAGATCAAGAGACCCTAACCTCTTTAAAAGAGGCATTAAATCCCACTAGTAGGCCTTCGTGCATAAACTGAACAATAATGATCTATGATTTAGGTTGTTAAGTTTAAATCCTCAATTTAGAGTTGGTTGCTTTTAATTTTACTTCAAAACTCGGTGACAACCAACCATTCTTCTTATTTGCAGATAGAATCTCGTTTCTATTTGTATATGTTTAGCTGCATCAAAACTTATAGTAATATCTGGTTTTATCTTTAAAGAATTCAGAAATTCTACTTAGGATTATGTTTGTTAATAATGTATCTTTCTCGAGTCTTGCTGTATTGAAAGTGCTGTGCTATTGAGATTTTGAGTTCCTTTTCCATTTCTCGATAATATCATAGTTGTTACTAAGGACATCTCTTCATTTCAAATATTTATATCAAACTTGCATCACATTGAAAGGACTAGTTGTAGCAACGAGAACAATGAAGAGTCAGAACATGATTCTTATGTAACCCTTGCTCCTTCTGAGTTATTTCATCCAGGCTTCATCCAGGTTCTAGACACAAATGTCTTCAAAAAATCACTTTTTACTAAACGCATCATTCACTCTCAATTTGTAAATCAGCCTTTTAGGCCATCCATGTTTGTCTTTGGCGGTTACTTGACTTTATTTTTTTCAAATTGGTCCTTATTTATTCACTCTATCACTCATTCACTTTTTCTTTTCTTTTTATTTTATTTACTTTTTGCACTCACTGGTTACTTTAGCCTATGCAAATATCAGTTGCTATATGAGCTTGAAATTCAAATGTCAATTAATTATTAATAATGAGAAATATATGATAAATAATATTTTTTACTTTAATAGTTAAGAGCAATCATAAATAAATACTAATTTAGTAATAATTCATTGCCAATTATAAGTCCTGAATAAATAATAATGAGTAAAGCTCTAGTAAACTTAAGTGGATTGAAAAGCCTTGTCCACCAACTTTTTTACTCATTAGATTTGCTTTGAGATTTATGCTTATACATATGAAGGCACGCATCCCAAAGATAACCTTGATGTATATCACACACCAACACAAATCTCAAAGCAAATTCAGTGAATAAAAAATTTGGTGGACAAAGCCCTCAATCCACTTAAGTTATTCTAGGTTCACTCTAAATATATTTTATTTTTCATGTATATATTTTTACTTCTTCCTAGTAACCTTTGTCACGGATACATCCATTTATCTTAACATGGTATTTATTAAGGACAAGTTTGCCCTGAACATTTTATTTACATGTGCTTCTATGTACTTAAATCGATCGATTCCATTGTTGAATACAGGATATATATTGTCGAGCAGAGATCATCAATGAAATCAAGAAACTGGTCAAGTAGATATATGCTCAGCCACCGCTCCAAATCTATTCAATCTTAGTCCGTCTGTTTGATGTACCATCATCAATGATGAACTTAATCAAAATTTCCACAAAATAAATCAAATTGCTACTAGAAGACAAGCATATCAATTAAAGAAAGGTCAATATAATAACTTCTCCAACCCCCAACATTTTTTTCTTGGGTTTTTTCATAGAAACCACATTAAAATAGGGTAATTCTACAAGAACCGCCTTTGAAGTTCAATTCATGCATAACACCTTTAAAATGGGTTTGTGCTGCAATCAACCATTTCCCAATCAAAATTTCACTAAAAACCAAAAAAGTACCTTTAAAAATTCATGTTAAATTCATGTTCAAGGTATGTGATTCGTATCCTAACTAGACCTAAAATCCTAAATATTAACAAAACGAGCCACTTGCTTTGAACGTGAGTTTTTTAAATATATTTTGGATTTTTAGTGAATTTTTTTACTGAGAAATGGTTGATTGCAACACAAGCCCATTTTAAAGGCAATTTATGTATAAATCAAAATTCAAAGGTGGTTCCTGTAGATTTACCCTAATTTTTAAGGTGGTTCCTAGGAAAAAAAACTTTTTTCTCCAAAAAAGTTTTGGACACCCCAGCAGAAAGTTGAAAATTGTTTCAAGAGTATGGAGAAGCAACAAAAAAATAAACTTACTGCTCGCATTTTTTCATAGCATGGATCCAAATTCGGCACTTCAAGGCTATGTATGGCACCTATCAACCATTCACATGCTTCAATGCATTTGACCACACGTACCTCGTCCAATGAACCTCCTGTTAGACATGCTGCATACTGCCATTTAGGTCAACCAGAAATGAATTCTTGAAATCACTATAAAGGTAATAGTTAGCAACAGGCAAAAGTAACACTTTTTGCAATAAGATATACCTCTGGTGGAAATACCAGCCGCTCAAGTAGCTTATCAAGCTCATCAATGAGAACCTTGCTGCTCGCAGACTGCAACTCCAATTTATTGTTTCGTGATTCAATCTGCAACATATAAAACAGAAACTGTAAGAAATAAACAAAATGTAGTAACTATTAACTAAAAATGGTGATGCTAAATGGAAACAGATAGTCTGTATCTTCTCAAACCTTGAGATGAAAGTAATATTAAGCGAATTTTGCAAATGATCCAAAACTAATAAAAGATATCTAGTTAAGAATCAAAATAGCAATTTGAATCACAGCACAAAGCTTAGTTGTTGACAAATTATGTCATGATGTAAGTAAACCAACTCACTCGAGTCAATGTGTCGCCATTAATAGGCTTGTTATGGAGCGTTTTAGTTAAAGTATAGTATCATATAATAGACAAACAATGTTAAGAAAAATTAACTTAATTTGAAAGGAGCCAATGAGTGATATTAATAGTAGTTACATGACTGACCAAGCAAATTTTCTTTCAAAATATAACAAATTGGTGAAAAAAGGTCTAAAATGTAAAATACTGAGCAATGTTTAAAAATTTTAAACTACTGGCAAAGAAGAAACGAGAGTATGCTAAAAATAAAAATATATGCGATTGGGCCTCAAACAGGTTTTCTTCTAATAACAAGGAATTGGTTAAAAAGAACTCCTGATGTCATTTATATGGAGTTAGGATAGCACTGATGTCATTTAAATGGAGTTAGGATAACAAAGAGGCCTGTAAAAGAAGAGGCACAGCTAACCAACAAGCAATGCTTATGTTTTATGATGTACTTCAAATACTTGAAATTCATAATTTATTGAGTGGTAGACTAGAACTTTACCTTATCTTAAAGTTCTTTTACATTTATTTCTTCTTTCTTCTTTCCCCCCGTTTGCCAGAACAATCTCATTATCTACGATACTTTTACATTTATTTCTTCTTTCCTTTTTTGGGTTTTTATGTCAAACCCACTTTTACTTATATTCAAACTGATGCTTACCACCTTCAAAGTTTTTTTTTATCATAACCACATTTACTTGAATACATCTTCACAATTGACACTTTTAGTGGTCACCCCTGATATGTCCATATAGCCCACCATCTTGTTTCTCCATCTCCTTCCCCACCAAACCCTAACCATAATCCTAACCATTTACTTGTATACATCTTCACAATTGAACTTTTTACTGTTCACCCCTAATATGTCCATATAGCCCTCACCATCTTCTTGTTTCTCCATCTCCTTCCTCCCCAAACCCTAACCCTAGTCTCCTCATCCTCCTCTTCTCCTTCCCTCCTCAATCCTTTGTAGAACCCCACCTCAAACCCACCACCGCCTCATGACCACCACCATCTCCCCCAAAACTCTAACCCTAACCCTAATCCTAGTTCCCACTTGGAGAGGAATGGAAGAGTGGGAGCTCGGGGAGAAAGAGGGAGAAGGAGAGGGAGGGGGAGGGGAGTTGGGGGAGGAGGGTGAGGAAAGACGAGGAGAAGAGGATGAGGAGGCTAGGATTAGGGTTTGGGAAGGAAGAAGGTGAACGAGAGAATAGAGTTGGGGTAAAATGGTAATTTCTGGCTTTTTTGGGTTAACAGTGAAAAAACTATCAATCGTGATGTATGCAAGTAAAGACGGTTTTAAAAAAAGTTAAATATGGTAAATATCAACTTGGGTATAAATAAAGATGAGGAAGAGGGAGGGGGAAGGGAGTTGAGGGAGGAAGGAGAGAGAAGATGAGGAGAAGAGGAGGATATGGCTAGGGTTAGGGATTGGGAAGGAAGAAGATGAAGGAGAGAATATGGTTGAGGGTAAAATGGGAATTTCTATCTTTTTTTGTTAAACAGTAAAAAAAAGTATCAATTGTGAAGATGTATGCAAGTAAAGGTAGTTTTGATACATTAAAAAAAAGGTTAAAGGCGGTGAGTATCAATTTGGGCATAAGTAAAGGTGGTTTTGATGTGAAAACTTTTTTTTCCGTTTGCCAGAACAAGCTCATAACTCCAGGATACTAGATTTATGTAGACAGTTGCAGTATCAAACGCCAACAACCTGACGGATAAAACTGTAGAAGATTTGAATGTCACTAAATAAACCTTGGTTACGTACCCTATGACTGAATTAGCACAGAAATTATTGGCGTAGAACTCAAACAAACCACATGAATAAACGACTTTGCAGATGACTGAGGAGTGTTAAAGCTCTAGCATAAATCGAAAAACAGCCCAACTCGTTTTAACATTTCACAATGATCTAAATCAAATAACACTTACGAATTAGAAAGTACATGGAAACCTCACTTTATAAATTAATACATGAACCAAACAAAAAAAGTTGATGAAATAAACCATTACTGATATGCAAGAAACTACAGAGTAAAAGTGTCAAATGCACAAAACTAAGTCCGCAGCAGAAGAGCTAAATGCTGAAAGCAAACATAGTGCATGATATATTATTTGTTTATATACATATAATAGGGAATTATGTGGGCACTTCATTCTAAAGGTAAAACATTTTGATAGGTCCTGTTAACACAGAATAAAGGTAAGTAGCAGTCACGGGGTTTTCAAAATAATAAGAACCAAGCAATAGTTAGATTGGGAAACTAAATAGAAAAGTGAACTGAAACACGATTCAGTACGTGCGTGTGTGTGTGCGTGCAGATGTTTAAACTTTTACAGCTGTAAGCTTATGTTTTTGGCAAATTTGACAAACCTGAATTTTTCTATTCTTGCACGACAAGTAGGAAATCAATCTGTCAACAGCCCTTTGATTATTTTGGTTTCTCGAAAGCAACCAAAGCTCTATCTAGGTTCTCAAGTTTGGTGTTTTCCTATTTTCTATTTTTTCTTTGAAATGTGACAAAACCACAATTTAATTCCAGAATTTGGTGGTGTGCCAAGACTGGGCCCACTTGCAATGACCACTAGGCAGAACTGAGAAATCATATTTGGCCTTGTTAATTTATACTATAAACAGATCAAACATGCATCAATATAAAATTTACACTATACTTCCAAACAACATCCCACAGTGCTCACATTATAGAAACAACAATATACTCCTATATCCATCAGAACCATGAAATACCGCAGGACTTTACCGATTCAATGTCCTCTCTCATATGTCTAAGCTTGACATTGAAGATACCTAGCCATTCATCCATGTCCTCAACACAAATAGTCGCTGTTTCTAATCCTTGCAATACCTGCACCATTCAAAAGAATTATTCATATATAGTCTTCTGGTTAATCTTAAGATCAGTCCAGATCTAACATACAGATTTGATATAATGGAAGCAACAAGTAAAGTATCAAAACAATTATTAGTAAATTGTTAACAGAAAATTCATATACATATTCAGAAAGCTTCCTCCATATCTGTAGGATCAGCATCATGAATCTCGCCTAACCATTTATTTATCATAAAAGTCAGAGCATCTATTTCTCAGGCATTTACGATCCCCATTCACAACTTTCTATGATGTGATAATCTTAAAAATTATAAGGTTACTAAAAAGATTGAAATATTGATAAGCTTCATCTAATTAACTATGTGAAGGATTTCGTTTCAAGAAGACAATCACAGACCTGTTCCACTAAAGGTTCGTTTTCTATAAGGGCATGTACATTGGCTGCTTCCAAGGCCAGAAGCTCCCGCTTCAATCTTTCAGAGAATGCTTCTGCTTCACCAATACCCATAACGTACCTGCATTCTCAGTAGTATATGTTTGTTATCTTCTTAACTATAAATAAGTAAACTAACCAAAGTTTAGACATGTAAGAGGGAACATCAAAAACTGCATTTATTTGCTAAGGACAGAAAGAGGTGCCCGTTTAAATGCACTAGCATAAGAAGATAATTAAATATCTGTATGAATGACCACATGCAAATAAATAAGACATGGATATATAATTTTTGACTGCTTGGCTGAAGCTGAAATACATTAAGCAGTTGACATTACCTCCAAGTGAATTGTGTATTTGCATCTATGCAAATTTTGTGCAAGCAAAAGCTTCTTTACGTGTGTCGTGTGCGCGCGCACCCAGATAAGCAAAAGAGGAACATGATACAGTCGAAAAATTAAATTTGCAAAAAGTAGAGGAACTGGACCCTTTTTTCTATGTTCTAATGTTCACATTATTAGTCTAAGGTTTTCATTTGCACCTTCTAATTTCATAATTTTATATATTCCAGGAATGTTAAATGAAAAAACAATGTATAAAACAGGCAGAAGCGTAAAGGGAACTGTTGCACTCTTTAAGGAAGTGAGGATTAAACTTCAAAACATGAGGCATAAGCCTCATAAGTTAATTACACTTTAAGTTTAAAATATATAAATATTTAAATATTATGATATATATTGTGTTAATAACAATTTAAAGATAGATACATTTAGGTCTTTGATGGTAAAAAAGAATAAATATGCTTAATATAGGCGCAAATCATAGGACAGGTGTCCAGGGACGAGCCCAGGATTGTTTGGATGGGGGGCCAGTGTCACAGGTGAGCAAATAAAGTCAAGCTTGATATGAAATAAAATTACTCTTTCCATTTTGTTGAATTCAAAAAGACTGTCCGTTGTAAATGTGATGACACAAATGCTTTAGTGTCAATTCAACTATCCCAACAAGTTAAGAGAAGTCAATCCTGAAATTAATTAGTTAAGAAAACTAATTTAAAAGCTAATAAGTTACATAAATTTGACTATACACAGGTTCTAACATTAATTTTAAAAGCTAAGAAGTTAAGGAAACTCAATTCAATTATCGCAACAAGAGAATATAATATAAACTGAAAGGTAATATCTAAACACGAAATGAAGTTTCACATGGTATTTCAAAGGAGGCAAGAGTATACATGTTAACTGATGTGTCCGGTGAATAGTAAACAATTTAACTATTTTAATTGAAAGGTCTATTTTGACTATTTTGTAATATATGATGGACATATACATATTAAATTAAGGGTTTTTCTATAATAGTCCCTTACTTTCATATTTTGAATTAGTCCCTCTAATCATTGAGATTGCTATTGTGTCCCCTAATTCTTAGAGTTATTTTGAAATCCCTAAATTCGTTGAAATTGCTACTTATAGTCTTCATTTGAGGGATTAATTTCAAAAGAACTTGACAATTGGAGAACCTAATAACAAATTTAATAATTTGAACACTAATTTCAAAAAATGAAAGATTTAAGAACTAATATGCAAACCCCTAATTATTACATTATATTGTCTTTGAGATCAATTGGGCTCAGTCTCAATTGATTGGGCATAATTTTTTTTAATGCATCAAGACTTTGATGAGTGAGATAAATTCAAAGCTTTAAGCCTATTATAAATTCACCAAACACAAAGGCCAGCGGGGTTTTTTTTGTTTTTTTGTTTTTTTTTTTTTTTTTGTGACTTAACGTTTCTTATTAAAATATGTACGACATGAATATATATAACTCTTCTATCTTTCACTGTCACCCTTAAATTTCTCTAATCACGTCACATTCTTTTTCCCCCACTCTAGACATTTTGGTTAAATCCATCTTTCCATGATTATTTAGCCCACGTTGGCCCAATACTTATTGAAAGGGTACAAATTCTGCTGATACGTGCGAGATATTAG